TGAAATGGGGTCTCTCTCTGTCACCCAGGCAGTGGCATGATCTTGGCTCACCGCAACCTCCACCTCCCAGGTTTTCAAGCGATTCTCCTGCCTCAGCCTCCCGAGCAGCTGGGATTATAGGCATGTGGCACCACGCCTGGCTAATGTTTATATTTTTAGTAGATTCGGGGTTTCACCATGTTGGTCAGGCTGGTCTCAATCTCCTGACCTCGTGATCCACCTGCCTCGACCCCCTAAAGTGCAGGGATTACAGGTGTGAGCCGCTACGTCCGGCCTCAACTGGATTACATTAATCAAGTGTTCCTCTAGTTCCTGCAAGATTTTGTTTAGTTCCAAAAAAGTTGATTGTGACTTTTATGCCAGTTTTTTGTTGTTTCCTATTTTCTGTGTTTCATTCATGTCCTTCACGGGATCTCAAATTTATAAAAAAAGAAATCTTCCCTCAGTTCCACAGATGGGAGAAAATGCTGAAAAGAAATGCAGTGAAAACGAAACCGGTGTTGCCTGCTTCCTGGACACTACCGTCCGCCCTGGTTGTTGGGTTCAGGCCTCAGAGTCTTCACGGGTGAGGCGTCTCATGCCACAGCCCCAATTGGAGACTCTGATTCCATCATCAGATAACTGGAAAGGACAGAGGGAGCAGCCACTGCTCCTGGGATTTGGTGGCCTGTAACTTCGGCAGCTCCCGTGTTGAACCCTCCCTTCTGTGGGAGGGGTGGCGGCGAAGGGAGGTTGGACGATGCCGAGTGAGCCATCTGCCCTCCGACCTTCACTCCCTTCCCTGGACCTCATTTTATCCAGCTGTAAAATGGATGGGTCATGGTGGTGATGGGGGCGCTCACTGACTTGTTTGTGAAAACAGGAGGCCCTGGGCTGGCCGGTTCTGTGCCCCTGGCCTCGGAGCTGCCAGCTGTGCAGTGGGCGTGGGAGTGCCTGGCAGGGCACAGGCTGAGGCGTCCTCTCCCGTCCCAGCTCTACGTGCAGGCGTGGCTCTGCTGGAAGTGGGCGCGGCTGCTGCGGCCCACGGTCCAGTTCTTCCTGGTGGCCTTTGCCCTCTATGTGGGCTACACCCGCGTGTCTGATCACAAACACCACTGGAGCGACGTCCTTGCTGGCCTCCTGCAGGGGGCGCTGGTGGCTGGCCTCACTGTGAGCTTCTGACCCTGACTAACCCCCTGTGCTGTCCAGAGACCACTCCCTGCACAACCCTGGTCCTTCCCTGTACACTCTTGCCCCACGGAGTCCTCCCCTGGGACCCCTTCCTCCAACCGTGTTCCTTCCCTGGGACCCCTCCTTCCCCCCATTTATCCCCGAGACTCCTACCCCCCAACCCCAGTTCTTCCCTGGACCCCTCCCTTCTCCCCATTTGTCCCCTGGGACTTCTTCCCCCAGCCCCAGTCCTTTCTGAGGTCCCCTCCCTTCCCCCCATTTCTCCCCCGGGACCCTTTTCCCCAACCCCAGTCCATCCCTGGGACCCCTCCTTCCCCCATTCCTCTGCCGAGACTACTTCCCCCAACCCTAGTCCTTCTCTGGACCCCTCCCTTACCCCCAACATCCCCTTGTTCCAACCCCAGTCCATTCATGGAACCCCTCATTTACCCCATTCCTCCCCGGGACCCCTTCCCTCAACCCCAATCTTTTCTGGGGGCCCCTCCCTTCCCTTCATTTCTCCCCTGGGACCCCTCTTCCCAAACCCAGTCCTTCCCTGGACACCTTCTTCCCCCAGTTCCTTCCCTGGGTCTCCTGCCTGCACACCGCAGCCCTTCCCTGGGCCTGTCAGCGCCCCAGTGCTCTCCACTGGTCGTCCACCAAGAGGGCTCTCTTCCCCCGACAGACACTCTTCCTCTCATTGCCCACCTGGGACCCTCTTCGTCCCCCTCCTGCCCTTGCCCATGTCCCTGGTGCCTGCCCAGCCCCTGCCCAGTCTCACCTTCCTCCACTCTGCCAGGTCCCCTACATCTCAGACTTCTTCAAAGCCCGACCCCCACAGCACTGCCCGAAGGAGGAGGAGCTGGAATGGAAGTCCAGCCTGTCACTGACAGTGGCCCTGGGCGAGGCTGACCACAACCACTCTGGGTACCCGCACTCCTCCTCCTGAGGCTGGATGCTGCCCAGGCAGGGAGTGGCTGTGAGTCCAGCTCAGGCCGGCCCCCCAGGTGGTCTCTCTGGCCCTGGGTAGGCACTGAGGGCTCCGGAGGGGCTCCCTGGGCTGATGGGAGCAGTGAGCAGGCTCTGCTGCCCCTGCCCTGCACAGGACCAGGGTTCTGGGGAGGCCTAGGTAGCCCTGAGCATTTGGAGGGGGACCTGTTCCCTTAGCTCCCCAATATCCCCATTCTTTTATGGGGTTAAGGAAGGGACTGTTTTGTAAAATATAGTGTACATGTGGTTTTTAGTAAAATAGGGCATTGGTTTGATGAGTGGTCTCAGTGCCTCTGTTCCTTACGGCCGTTCTGGGATGGTGTTCCTCCCATCAGAAGGCTCCACGGAGCTCAAGTGTCAGGCTGCCTCACCCGCTGTGACAGTGGAGGGCAGCAGCCAAGCCCGCCCCTTGAGTTTCTCCCTGCACGGTGCTGGGGTCAAGAGTCAGATGGGTGAGCACACCCCTCCCCTCTGCTCATGTCCACCCTGTGCACCTGGGGGCCACGCTTCTGAAATGGGTAATTCAGGGGCTGGTTTCCCTGAAGTGATGGCAGAACACACAGAGCTTACTTTTTCCACAGGTGGGTAAAGGGTACATTTGTTTTTTGTACAGGGGATAACTTAAGTATCTGCTGATGTTTTCTTCGCACCTGGAACCTCTCTCATTCCCTCACCCTGCAGGGTGTTCCTATCAGGCCTTAGCCTACGGAAAGGGTGGTGTAGCCCTGGTGGCAAAAATGCAGCCTGGGAGCCCCACCCAAGGGGCCACGATGGAGACCAGCTCTTGGTGGATGGGAAGGAAAGTGACCCAGACCCTGCGAAACTCCAGCTGAATGTCAGGGACTTACCTCCATGCAGGTGTCAGATGGGACCCTGACTGGGAAAGTCACATTGAAGCCTCCCAGGTAACCTAGGGTGCCCCAGCAGGAAGTGATGCCCGAGGACTAATGAGGCTGTGTCTGGGCTCAGAATGTATCTCTGGCAGTGGGTGGGAGAGAGGTTCCCAGCCAGATCTCACGGGCAGAGTCACATGCATCAGGAGCAAATGGGAATGACTCAAGTGCCCTGACACCAGCCGACACCTCTGTCTCCTCCCAGACGCAATGGCCTTGAAAGCTAGGACCACAATGAGGGTTGAGCATGAGTCTGTGGGAGCAGCTGCAGTGCACAGGACTCTGGTGTGGTCTGCTGGGGGCAGGTGGCCTTGTTGGGACCAGCGGTGAAGACAGAGGAGTGGAGGAAGTTTGGAGTGAGGGAGAGGACGTGTCTGAGGCCAGCTGCTGGGGGAGTCTCAGTGCTTCAGAAAGAGCATGTGCACCTCACAGCTGAGAGCAGAGAAAGAAAGGGCTGTACTGACCAGAGCCATCCCCAGAGGGCCCTCAGGAGCCAGGAGCACTGCTCTGCATCTGCTAGGAAAAGCCGGGACGCAGGGTGTCGGGCTCGGAAATTCTCACAGGTTCCCAGTGCCAAGATGGCAGGTAAGGCAGCAGTTAGGACACATTTCTCCACCCACACGGAGCTCTGGGGAAGCTCTCATGCATAATTTTGGGCTTATACTGCCCACACCCCTATAGTTTCATGAGAAAAAATAGTATTTTCTCTCGTTGTACAAGGAGGATATTTTTTTTCTGTTGTTTCTTACAGGAAACTCAGATTCTTAGCCATGTAAATATCATTTCCCATGGCTTTGTCCTCATGGCCCAGCATTTCTCCCACCTTCTGAGGTTAACTGGTTTTTGAAG